GCAACATATCACATCGGGAGAAGGAACAAGTGAACCAGCCCCCCGCATGCCTTTTTCGGCTATCACAGGCAGTGAACCACATATCAACATTCGAATTCTAGTTTGATGATTAACCGTGTCTGGTTTGGTGTCCTCAGCGGCAGTGTCACGCAAAAAATAGCAGTCCCACGTTCCATCCTCATTGGTTGTCATGGATCTACGCCCTGCACAAGCGAACATGTGGAGTTTAGGTCACACGGATTGACGATTCATGATCTCACATATCATTGTACAGGTACTTTAACTTTGTCTTGACGGTGGTTAGGACAATGGTGTTATAAGCTTGTTGTTGTCACTTCATCTCTCGTTTCGTTCTTTTGAGCTCCCAGTTTTCTTCCCTTACAATATGATGATGAAGCAACATTTCGGCAAGCTGCCTATCATAGTTCATTCCTCAATCATAGGTTCTCACCTGTTGAGGTGGATGGTTTAGAGAAACTCTATCAGATCCACTAAAACCACGTCCCGCAAATTTGATATAAGGGCCACCTATAAAAAAATTGTGGTGCTACGAGGCCTCCGGCGGAACAGATCCCGTAAACTCGTCTCGCAAAATTTTGCGGGACGAGTTTACAAGATCTGTTCCATGCCGGAGGCCATGCGGTACCGCAAATTTTCAGGAACTTTGCAAATTCATGATTTTCAATAATATAAACTTGATATAATCACAATTTAAATCAAACTTATAAATGGCTCGAAATGCAAATCACAATATAATAATTGCATTCATTACAAAAATTGTTTTAATTCGAATAAATAATACAACAACAAATGGTCCGAAGGAAAAAATTGTTCAAAACTAGCCAACCATTGATCTATGGAGCTTTCTCTTCAGGCCGGCTTGAAATTTGTCGATAAGATGCAACAACACTAGCTGGTCCACATTGTCGTCCAAAATCATCTCCTCTCTGTCGGAATCATCCGACGAAGATTCAATCATCCATTTAAAACATAAATACACTCCTAAGATTTTTTTTAAAGTACCGCCGCACCTAAGACTAAAACAACAATTTGGCCAGAAATTACGTTCCCCGGAAGCAATTCCGCCGGCCAGAATGAAGTTAGCCGCCTCTTTCTTCTCCGCCACCGACCGAAGCAAATCGGCAAGCTCTTTGTCACCATGGCCGAAATCCGTGGCGCCAAAGAGCCCCTGCTGCACCACACACTACTAGAAAAAAACCTAGTAGTAGCGCGGGGTAAAGGACTAGTAGTAGCACGGGTGCCCACGCAACTGCTAGGGCGCTACAGCTAACTTGTAGTAGTAGCGCGGGGTAAAGGACTAGTAGTAGCATGGGTGCCCACGCAACTGCTAGGGCGTTACAGCTAACTTGTAGTAGTAGCGCGGGTAGGTCTAGACCCCTCGCTACTGCTAACTAATTAGGAATTAAAAAAATAAATTCCATCAGCGTCATTGTCCTCTCCGTCCATGCCTGATGCTGGTCTTGGAGGGGATGGAGTCGTCCATGGTGATGGTGCTTCCCCATTAACTCTTCTCCACACCTCTCCTCTGCTGCTTCTACAAAAAAAGAGAAAAGGATTAGAAGAGGAAGAGAGCGATAGAGAGGAGTAGGTGGAGCAACTCATTGGTGGCCGCCGGAGTTGGAGCCGATGCCCGGTGACCTACTACTGCTTTTCCCGGGACCTCATGTCCTCACGAGGCCCTGTCCCACGAGGAACTGCAAGTGCTTGCGTCCATGGCAGATCTGGCCATCGCCATGGACGATGCTCTGCTAGATTGCCATCTCCTTCCAGCAGCGGAGAAGGAGGAGGAAGGAGTGGCAGAGTAGGGGGCTGCGGTGGGAGAGGAGGTCTCCGGATTTGGGGGAGACGTCGAGGTGCAAGGTCGGCAGTGGCGGTGGGTGAGGAAGGGCATCGCGGGTGGGAGGGAGAAGGGCAATCGATAGAGTGCGGGTTTGGGTTTGGGCCTCCGCGCGCTATGTGTATACATGTGTTGGTGGGTCGATAGTAATAGCGCTGGGTTTATACCTTGCGCTACTACTACGGCCTGTCCCAGGGGGAGGCACGGTGGAGACCACTTAGTAGTAGCGTGGGGTTTATACCCGGTGCTACTACTATCAACTTAGTAGTAGCGTGGGTTTTCAACCGTCGCTACTAATAATTAGTAGCAGCACGGGGTTTATACCCTGCGCTAGTGCTAAGCATCTATCTATAAGGTATTTCCTAGTAGTGACAGTCGACTGCGAGGCTCGCCAGTGTCCGGACCAAGCAGATCCGCCCGCTATGTCGCCGTGCGGCAAGCTACGGGCGGATCCATGGCGTTGGCGCCGGCCACTCACCCGCGGGGAGAAATTGGCACACCGATCTCCAGAATTAGAGGAGAAGATTCCACCGGGGGCAGCAACTGACGGTAGGGAGATGCGGCGGCGGCTTTGAGGGTTTGGGCTGAAATGTCCTTCACGCGCTCGAGTGGGCAAGATAGGGGAACCAATGAAAAGAGGGGGCGGGGACCGTAGATATGGCAGACGCGGGACGGAATTTGCAGGATCCCACAAACAAATTTAGCGGACGGCCGAATATACCAGATCTGTTCTAGGCAGAAAAATCGTTCCCATCCTATATATCAGCGGTTATTATAGCGGACGGACAGTTTTTGCATATCTGCTAGAGTTGCTCTTACGGCGCTCTGTTAAATCTTAATTTGATGTTAGTCAAGCTTTTTTCATGTCTGGTCTTTGGAGTTCTTTCAGGGATGTATGTATAAAATTCATCATGCAAGAGGTGGACCTATCGTTGAGGATTGCAAAAGACTTTGATGTAAGTTCTAAATGACCTTTTCGTGTTCCATTTTTGTTTGAACTCATATACTTTATCTTGTTTAAATAAAGTTGAATCATTTACTTCAAAAGTATTTGAACCCATATACTTGGTCTACTTTTAATAGAGTTTACTTTACAAAACCATGAGGGGATAAAGTATATTATGTAGGATTTCGATTCAAAGCTCTTGAAGCCTTCCTAAAGGGGCCAACTATGAAATGAGCTATTAGTCTGTTTCTTCTTTAGAACAATGTTTTCGTTCAAAAAAATTTACAAAGTATTGTAAAAGACAAGTCTATAAAATAATACAGAGTATATTGTGAAATAAAAAAATTCACATACAGATATGTAAATGTACTATGAAAAAGTTTTGCAAAAAAAAAAGGAAAAACTCGCGCAAAAGAAATGTACTACTCCTATGAAAATTTTCCTATATGCAAAAAGATATTATTGTCATTTGCATGGATTATCTGGGCCCAGTTTCTTTCCCCTCCAGATACCATATTGCGCTTCTAAACGCGCCGGCCTAGCAGACAAAGAAGTCCAAGTGCGACAGGAGATGAGATGAAGTGAACCTACAGGCGGCAGCAGAAGAGCAATGGCGGCGGCGGAGGCTTACTCTTTAGTTCAGTATCATGTTTACTGTTCCCACTTGCTCGATCGAAGGGTTGGTAGTGACGGTATGACTGAAAATCTGTTGAGAAAGAACTAGATGATCTTTTGTTTTCACCGGCACGATCTGGAAATGAAGTGCAGAAACCGGCCAGGATGAATTTCCTCCCCTTCTGAATGCTGTACGAGTTAAAACAGTAAGCACCTCTTCTTGTTCTGTACGAGTTAAAAGCATTGTTTTGGGTACCGCTCGAAATTTCGGGATCCCGAGCGGTTACCGCGTTTACTGCTACCCCACGGAAAACACTCATACCGAACTAAAAAATTCGAATTTTTTTGAAATTTGAATTCAAATGGTCACTCTGCTGTTAAATAGGCAACATCGCTCACAATGGTGTAGTGGCAAAGACTTGCTTTATGTACCTGCAGGTCGCGGGTTCGAGTAAGCGGCATCGGTGGGCGCGTGTGTTCAGCCACTGCGCTAGAACAAAGGCAGTGACCTCAAAGAGTTAAAACATTATCTATATCAACTTTGAAATTTTGAATTCAAATTTAATTTTAAATTTCGTCCGAATTTTTTCCGGTATTTCGTGGTTACTGGGGGAACCGTGAATTTTGGTGTCCCTCGAGAAAAAATGGTTCCAAAACCTTGGTTAAAAGTGAGACTCCGATGTGGGAATTGATACTCTGGAGTGTACTGATGCCATGGCTTGTGATATGTAGCTGAAGCAAAAACTAGACTAGCCTGATACATCTACAGGTGCCTGATGCCATGTGTGATAGGTAACTGAAAGCAGAGACTGGACTGGCTATCACAATTCCTGGTATATATCTTTGTTTGTCCCATTATAATTCAATCCTTATACCATGCCTTGGAACGTTATGCGTCGTAATCGCATCACTGGAACTACACATCCTGCTATTTCTAGATGATGAGCATATGACCTACCGTGCCATGCGGTTGCCGTGTGTGTTACGGTGCCAGTCAAACCGATTTAGTTAAGCACTTGAGCTTGCAAAGATAAAAATAAAAATAGAAGTAGTACACATTGTATATTCAAGTCGTCTTGCCGAGTAAAACTTCTATTAATGCTTCTTTTCTGAATTTTATGTATCACAATCGCCAACCGTATTGGCCTTGCAGTTTTGTAACCATCCATCCTTGACCCCTACAGGTGACTGATGCCCTGTGTGATAGGTAACCGAAGCAAAGACTAGGTGACTGATGCCCTGTGTGATAGGTCATAGGCCACAGTCCCATCAGTGGAAGGGAAACCACATATCCTGGTATCTAGATGTGAAGAACATTCTGCTATCTACTCCCTCCGTTCGGAATTACTTGTCTCGAAAGTGGATGTATCTAGAACTAAAATACGTCTAGATACATCCATTTCTGCGACAAGTAATTCCGAACGGAGGGAGTAGATGAGAAGGACATCCTGGTATGTACCGTGCCTTGCGGTTGCCGTATGTGTTAGGTTTCTGCAAGCATAAGACATAAATCACATCAATGGTCCTAGTCAGTCTTCCCTCCACCGGTGACTTGTCCTCTGAACGCAAGGACAGATCCACTATAGAATAAGATCCAGACCGGAGTTCACAAGCATGCATACCTTCATACCCAAATACCTGTAAGAGAAAACCCACACTGAAATATGTCTGAGCTCAGGATTCTTGTCCAAGGAACTCTGATAGCTTTGTTGTGCCTGCTCCTCTCCTTTCCACCACCAGCCACAGCCTCTCCCCTCCATGAACCAGCTTCAAATGGGAGTTGTGTCACGTACGAGAGGGACGCGCTTCTCTCCATCAAGGACAGCCTCTGGGAGCCCAGTGTCAACCTCTCGTCATGGCAAGGTGAAGAATGCTGCACCTGGAAAGGCGTCAGGTGCAGCTACAAAACCGGCCATGTCGTCAAGCTCAATCTTCGTGGAAGTGCTCAAGACTGCCTCAGATACTCTACGTATAGAGGTGCGATAAGCCACTCCTTGGTTACTTTACAGCAACTGAGGTATCTAGACTTGAGCTGCAATAGCTTCAACTGGTCTGAGATACCGGAGTTCATTGGTTCTTTTCCGAGCCTTAGATATCTAAACCTTTCATATAGCTCGTTCTATGGGAGAGTACCCCCGCAGATTGGGAACCTCTCCAAGCTTGCCTACCTGGATCTCAAACTCCCAAGTTATAACATATTGTACTCAAGTGATCTTCGGTGGTTATCACACCTGTCATCACTGAAGCACCTCGACTTGAGCTATATTAACCTTACCACTGCACTAGACTGGGTCCATGAAATTAACAGGATTCCAAATCTTAGCAAGCTTTACCTAAAGTACACAGGCCTAAGAAGCACAGTTTCTGCCCTTGGTCAATCCAATCTTACGGCACTCGAGGTGCTTGACATTTCACAGAACTACTTTAACACCACCATTGCTCCACACTGGTTTTGGAACTCAACGTCCCTCACTTCTCTGAACTTGTTTCGTTGTCACTTCTATGGTCGTATTCCTGAATATATTGGTAATATGGCCTCTCTCGAGGAAGTTTATTTCGGGGGGAATAATCTTATGTCCAATATGATACCATCAAATTTCAAAAATCTATGCAACCTGAAGATACTAGAATTGTCAGGCAGCAACACCTCAGGGGATATCTCAGAGTTGATGGAGCGGTTACCAAACTGTACTTTGAACAAGATGCAAGTGTTGGACTTGGGAGATAATATGCTAGGTGGGGCCATGCCCAGTAGTCCAGGGCCTATTACAAACCTGACCTGCTTGGCCCTACCTCAAAATAAGCTTACAGGCCCTATACCCAAATGGATATGGTCACTCACCGAGTTGCTTATTTTGGACTTAGAAAGAAACGAGCTACATGGCGTAGTCACTGAAGATCACCTAAGAAGCCTTACAAATTTGAAGCTCTTAAGTTTGGGCCACACACATCTTCAGATCAAGGTCAGTCCGAATTGGGTTCCTCCATTCAAACTACAAGTAGTTACCTTAGAGGGTTTGCAGCTAGGACCAGCATTCCCGTCATGGCTTAGATCACAGACAAGCCTTGGGATCCTATTGATTGCAAATACAACCATAACTACAATCCCAGATTGGTTTTGGGTTGCCTTTTCAAGGGCAGAAGTTGTGGATCTATCCAAAAATCAGATAACCGGCGCACTACCAACAACACTGGAATTTATGGCAGCAGAAACAATGGCTCTGTCCAACAACAGATTTACTGGCACAGTTCCAAAATTCCCAAGAAATATTAAAGGCATGTACTTGTCAGTAAACTCTTTATCGGGGTCGTTGCCATCAGATTTCGGAGCCCCGTTGTTGCAGTATCTTAGTATTTATAACAATTCAATATCAGGCCCCATTCCATCTTCGTTATGCTCATTGACACAGTTGGCTCTGCTAGATCTATCAGGGAACAAGCTGACGGGAGAAGTTCCAAGCTGCGAAGAGGATTCTAACCCACCCATGCATAATCTTAATGTGGTAAATTTGCATACCAACAACCTCTCAGGAGAGTTCCCAAGAGTCTTTCAAAGCTGCCCCAACCTTATTTTTGTTGATCTTTCATATAACATATTCTCCGGAGACCTACCTGTCTGGATGGGGGTGAAGTTACCGTACTTAGCAATGTTACGTCTGCGGTACAATATGTTTTCTGGCCAGATTCCCATTGAAATTGGAAAGATTCGAGAGCTACAGTTTTTAGATCTTGCACACAACAACTTCTCAGGAAGCATGCCGAACTCATTAGTTAACTTGAGTGCAATGGCCCGCACTTCTGGACATAGTGATGTTCTTTATTATGCCTTCAGTAATAAACAAGGGGCTCATCTGTACAACTCAGTATATCTCTCTATTTCTTTCGGGGAAACATTATCTGTTCTTACAAAAGGGCAACAACTTGTATTTTTCTATATCTCAGACATGGTGGTTCTTGATTTGTCATGTAACAGTTTAACCGGAGTGATCCCTGATATTGGTGGTCTCATTGGATTAAGAAGTCTGAACTTGTCATTGAACAGCTTAAGTGGTGCAATCCCAGAAAAAATTGGTGAGCTCAAGCAATTGGAATCTCTTGACCTGTCAAACAATGAACTTTCAGGAGAGATCCCTTCAAGCATGACTGCTCTTACCTCTTTGAGCCATATGAACCTGTCATACAACAATCTTTCCGGAAAGATACCAACTGGAAATCAACTCCAGACTTTTGACGCATCTGACTACATTGGGAACATTGGTTTATGTGGTTACCCCTTGACGAACAACTGTACAGGAAATAGTTCAAGTCGACCTACACATGTAGATCATGGAGATGGATCGGAGGATATATCCCTTTACCTTGGTTTGGCTGTTGGGTATGTCCTTGGCCTTTGGGTGGTCTTTTGTGTGATGCTGTTTAAAAAAAGATGGAGAACTGTTTATTTCAGATTTATCGAAGGGCTGCAGGACAGGATTTATTTGGCAGTGGTACTGAGATGGGCCAATCTGAAGAGGAAACTTGGTAAAACTTAAGTATTGTTATATGTTATGGATGATAATAGTCATGTATGCGTTCGATCCAGAACTTTCCTTTTTACGGATGGCTCTCTATATCCAGGGGTGTTGTGACAAAAGTATATTGTATGAACTGACATGTACCACTGTTGTGTTCTCCATATGTAATGTAATCTAGTGCCACGTATTGTAAACCATCTGCCATATATTGTATTTTCCTTCTGCTATTTTTAAGTCGAGAATTGATTCTTGGCCTGTAGTACTGTTGATTTGTTATATATTCAAATTGATGAAATGTTCCTTGGGATACGTGTTGAGTATGCAAATCAAATCAATTTTAGAAGCAGACATCCCCTGATACGACATTCTAATATGATTGAGATGAGAAGCAACAGCTGCTGTCCATGGTTTGTGCCTTTCCTCTGCTGAATGCTGACCACTATATGCCTAACGCATTCCTAGCACATGATGGTTGCCAAATGCCGCTGCTGCTGCCGCTCATAATCCGCCAAGAGGTATGCCATCGTGTAGGCCTTCCCCCCATCGAGCTGAATCCCTAGCATGATGATTCCGTGGTCGTAGGTCCTTTCTGTATCAAGTCGGCATGGATGATGAGTCTAGAGTGCGTAGTCTCCTCAAACGAAATGCTTAGTGTTGTGGGAATCGAACTGGACCTGACGCTGGGTGTTGGTTGCTGAGTCTATTGAAAAAGGTTGGCAGCATAGATTTGATTTGGTTGAGTTCAGGAAGCATCGGTCTGATTTGTAATTTACATGCACTCTCGTTGCTTGCTAGTCACTGTCAATGTTCAGCCTTCGAGCAGAATTAAACTAAAAAACTGAACAATTTATCATGTATTTTAACTCAGCATTTCGGCATTTCTGCAGCGCTCGAGACCTACTGCACCATTGAACAGATTCCTTTCGTTCACACGTCACACAGTTGCTCAATAATGTTTTCTTCTGTTCTTCAAGTGACAGGAGTGAAATGATCTGCCTATAAATGTGAGTATGTGACTGGCTGTACACCCGTGTTGGAACTCGCCCACAGGATCGATCATATCACAGTACGACGAACGTGCGCACAAAAACTTTTATAGCCAAGAGCCCTTATCGTGTCCTTTGTTTCTCTTTTTATTTTGTGTTTTCTCGCCATGGTACAATAGGCAGACGCCTAGGTTGTGCTTATATACAAGTATACGCAACCGACCCAAGCAATCCAAAAACCTAAATATATTCGTACAAGACCTACTAATACTACTAGGACTCAAACTCAACTAGACACGTACAACATCCTAGCACGTGTACTACTTGGACTCTGGCCTGACACGTACTTGGCCCAAGACCAAGGACTACACGTCCTAGCACAATTAGTACATGCACTACAAACTCAAGATTACTCTAACATTCTCTCCGTAATCCAAACTTACCACATCAACGACTCACTAAACCTGTCATGTCTATACATCAAGTATGACCCGCTTGGAAACATGCAGCGCACCTCTTTGCTCTGCTATGTTGTGCCACCGGCATTGCTTGGCGGTCATCTTGCACACGGTTCGTACCATACTCCTCTTGTACTTTCTTGCAGTAGATCCACTCTCCACCGCTCGCACACCTCCTCGCTTTACGATGGCTTTGCCTACCACCGTCCGCCTTCAGCATCACACCGAATCCACACTGGCCGCAACCAGGACGCTCCACGAGGACATGGACATAACTCACGGAACACCATGCACATTACTTTCACTCCAACGAATCATCACCAAGACGAGCACTTGGACACGATGATGACTCACACACGCAACGACGACTGACCGTGCAAACTCGCACGACTCCTTGACTCATCTGACTCCCCCGGACGACGATCTTGATGAATTCCAGCGCTGCACCTCGGCACCATCCCTCCCATCAACGACCTCCTTCCACCACCTTGCCAATGACAGCCTGCCGTCTCCCTCCATGTCGCTCCGTCGAGCGATTGTTCCTCCTCTTCGCCGCATCATCCAGCGACCTCATGGCCCGCCCCGAGGCACTAGTCGGGTCGCAACACCGGGGCAAGCACTCGACACCTAAATTTTGCTCTAGATACCAATTTTTGGAACTCGCCCACAGGATCGATCACATCACAGTACGACGAGCGCGTGCACAAAAACTTTTATAGCCAAGGGCCCTTGTCGTGCCCTTTGTTTCTCTTTTTATTTTGTGTTTTCTCGCCGCGGTACAATAGACAGACGCCTAGGTTGTGCTTATATATAAGTATAAGCAACCGACCCAAGCAATCCAAAGACCTAAATATATTCGTACAAGACCTACTAGTACTACTAGGACTCAAACTCAACTAGACACGTACAACAACCTAGCACGTGTACTACTTGGACTCTGACCTGACACGTACTTGGCCCAAGACCAAGGACTACACGTCCTAGCACAATTAGTACATGCACTAAAAACTCAAGATTACTCTAACATTCTCTCCCTAATCCAAACTTACCACATCAACGACTCACTAAACCTGTCATGTCTATACATCAAGTATGACCCGCTTGGAAACATGCAGCGCACCTCCTTGCTCTGCTATGTTGTGCCACCGGCATTGCTTGGCGGTCACCTTGCACACGGTTCGCACCATACTCCTCTTGTACTTGCTTGCAGTAGATCCACTCTCCACCGCTCGCACACCTCCTCGCTTTACGATGGCTCTGCCTACCACCGTCCGCCTTCGGCATCACACCGAATCCACACTGGCGGCAGCCAGGACGCTCCACGAGGACATGGACATAACTCACGGAACACCTTGCACATTGCTTTCACTCCAATGAATCATCACCAAGACGAGCACTTGGACACGACGATGACTCACACACGCAACGACGACTGACCGTGCAAACTCGCACGACTCCTTGACTCGTCTGACTCCCCCGGACGACGATCTTGATGAATTCCAGCGTTGCACCTTGGCACCATCCCTCCCATCAACGACCTCCTTCCACCACCTTGCCAATGATAGCCTGTCGTCTCCCTCCATGTCGCTCCGTCGAACGATTGTTCCTCCTCTTCGCCGCATCATCCAGCGACCTCATGGCCCGCCCTGAGTAACTAGTCGGGTCGCAACCCCGGGGCAAGCACTCGACTCCTGAACTTTGCTCTAGATACCAATTGTTGGAACTCGCCCACAGGATCGATCACATCACAGTACGACGAACGCGCGCACAAAAACTTTTATAGCCAAGGGCCCTTGTCGTGCCCTTTGTTTCTCTTTTTATTTTGTGTTTTCTCGCCACGGTACAATAGACAGACGCCTAGGTTGTGCTTATATACAAGTATAGGCAACCGACCCAAGCAATCCAAAGACCTAAATATATTCGTACAAGACCTACTAGTACTACTAAGACTCAAACTCAACTAGACACGTACAACAACCTAGCACGTGTACTACTTGGACTCTGACCTGACACGTACTTGGCCCAAGACCAAGGACTACACGTCCTAGCACAATTAGTACATGCACTAAAAACTCAAGATTACTCTAACATTCTCTCCCTAATCCAAACTTACCACATCAACGACTCACTAAACCTGTCATGTCTATACATCAAGTATGACCCGCTTGGAAACATGCAGCGCACCTCCTTGCTCTGCTATGTTGTGCCACCGGCATTGCTTGGCGGTCACCTTGCACACGGTTCGCACCATACTCCTCTTGTACTTGCTTGCAGTAGATCCACTCTCCACCGCTCGCACACCTCCTCGCTTTACGATGGCTTTGCCTACCACCGTCCGCCTTCAGCATCACACCGAATCCACACTGGCCGCAACCAGGACGCTCCACGAGGATATGGACATAACTCCCGGAACACCATGCACATTACTTTCACTCCAACGAATCATCACCAAGACGAGCACTTGGACACGATGATGACTCACACACGCAACGACGACTGACCGTGCAAACTCGCACGACTCCTTGACTCATCTGACTCCCCAGGACGACGATCTTGATGAATTCCAGCGCTGCACCTCGGCACCGTCCCTCCCATCAACGACCTCCTTCCACCACCTTGCCAATGACAGCCTGCCGTCTCCCTCCATGTCGCTCCGTCGAGCGATTGTTCCTCCTCTTCGCCGCATCATCCAGCGACCTCATGGCTCGCCCCGAGGCACTAGTCGGGTCGCAACACCGGGGCAAGCACTCGACACCTAAATTTTGCTCTAGATACCAATTTTTGGAACTCGCCCACAGGATCGATCACATCACAGTACGACGAACGCGCACACAAAAACTTTTATAGCCAAGGGCCCTTGTCGTGCCCTTTGTTTCTCTTTTTATTTTGTGTTTTCTCGCCGCGGTACAATAGACAGACGCCTAGGTTGTGCTTATATATAAGTATAAGCAACCGACCCAAGCAATCCAAAGACCTAAATATATTCGTACAAGACCTACTAGTACTACTAGGACTCAAACTCAACTAGACACGTACAACAACCTAGCACGTGTACTACTTGGACTCTGACCTGACACGTACTTGGCCCAAGACCAAGGACTACACGTCCTAGCACAATTAGTACATGCACTAAAAACTCAAGATTACTCTAACATTCTCTCCCTAATCCAAACTTACCACATCAACGACTCACTAAACCTGTCATGTCTATACATCAAGTATGACCCGCTTGGAAACATGCAGCGCACCTCCTTGCTCTGCTATGTTGTGCCACCGGCATTGCTTGGCGGTCACCTTGCACACGGTTCGCACCATACTTCTCTTGTACTTGCTTGCAGTAGATCCACTCTCCACCGCTCGCACACCTCCTCGCTTTACGATGGCTCTGCCTACCACCGTCCGCCTTCGGCATCACACCGAATCCACACTGGCGGCAGCCAGGACGCTCCACGAGGACATGGACATAACTCACGGAACACCTTGCACATTGCTTTCACTCCAATGAATCATCACCAAGACGAGCACTTGGACACGACGATGACTCACACACGCAACGACGACTGACCGTGCAAAC